CCCGAGCCTGCTGGGCTCCGGTCAGTCCGCAGGGTTGGGAAGGAGTGTGTGAGGGGTAATGGTGTGGGCAGAACTGACAGTTAGAACATGTGAGGTGAAAAGATTTAATCCACTGACAGCTTTTTATTGAATTTGCAACTACTCTTACCAGGACATTACTCACTCAGATTATTGTGGGATTTAGTATTTTCAAGAAATAAAAGGTATAGATTAGGGAGGGAGCAACAAAACTATTTTTTTCATAGATGATAACAGCATAGAAAAGTGCAAAAACATGCAGGAAAAATGATCAAATTCGTAGATTAACAAAGTAGCGGGTACAAAGTCAATAGTCAAAGATCAACTGTTTCCATAGATTAATAAGTAACAAACAACATTGATGTTTTAAAGAAATACAATTTATTTTAGCATACAGGGTATCAAATAACTTGGAATAAATTTAACCAAAGATTGCAACAACCCTACAGAGAGTTATGAAGTATTTTTGAAAGAAATTGGACACCTAAATAAATGAAGGATTAATATGTGTGGCTAGGTTGGGAGACTTCATATTGTTACAACGTCTGTCCTCAGATTGATCTATAGATACAATGCAAAGCCATTCAAAATCACGGTAGGATTGTGTGTGTGTGCGTAATATCACAAGTTTATTTTACAATATGTATGGAAATGCGAAAGGTTTAAAATATTAGTAGAGAAACTCTTGAAGAATCATGAAGTTGTATATCTACCAAGTATCGAGACTTATAAAGTTAAGGTAATTAAGACAGTGTTAACAGTGGTGAAAGGATGGACAAACATGAAAGAAACAATAGAAAGCTTAGACAGGACCTTTACATAAATGGACATTTGATTGAATATCAATTTGATATTCACATGGAAAAAGAAAGTTAACCTGTACCTCAAAAGTCTACCTCTATCTCAAACCATATTCCCAAATTAAGTGCCAATTGATTATATTTTTAATTATAAAAGATAAAATAATGAACATTCTAGAAGTTGATATAAATTGTCTTCATGATAGAGAATGAATTTTATATTGAAAAAATCATCAACTATAAAGAAAATAATTATCAATTTGACTACATGAAATTGATAACTGGAGATCGTCTGCCAATCCAAAAACAACATTAAAGAGAATGGAAAATAAAGTACAGATTGGGAGAAGATATTTATAAGAGATAAAGTTAAGGGACCATATGTAAAATATATGAAAAACTGATATAAATCATTAAGAAAATGATTGACCACCAAGAAGAAGACTGGGTCAGATACTTTAGCAAGCTCTAAAAAAACCCAAAACAAACAAACAAACAAACAAAAAACGGTCTAATATGCAAATTTGTAGAAAACTGTCCAGCCTCATTTGTAATGAGGAAGATGAAAATTTAAACCACAATGTGATACTCTGCCGGGGTCCAGCCCCAGCGGTCCAGGGGTTACCAAAGGTGTGGACAGAGTCGGCGAAGAATGTTTTACACCAGTGGTTCCCAAACTTATTTGGCCTACCGCCCCCTTTCCAGAAAAAATATTACTCAGCGCCCCCTGGAAATTAATTTTTT